AACGTTCAGCGGTTCGACGTCACTTCAATAAAACGGCCCTTTTTAGGGCCAACACATCACCAATCCCGGCGCTTAATTAAGCTGTCCGACCCGAGCCAGGTTCATCGTCGGGGCACCGCTTAGTTAAGTTTGTACYGACGACAGCCGGATCCCATACCCGATATTTTGTTATATACTATGCATATACAATTATACCTAATTGTACAAATAGAGTCCGGTAACTAATACCCATGCGCCTCCGATTGTGTCGACTCACTTATTTAAATCTGGTCGACACAAATCGACGCTTTACTAAGCCCCAATATTATTTATTTATATACTTTTCAAAACATAGAAATAGAGATACCTAATTACAAAATAAACCAAAGTTTATCATTTATTCAAGACACGGGCCGTCCATCCGGGCGAACCGTTTCACATATTAATTTTCTTACGTACATTTTACCTACATATTTAGGTTCAGTTAAAAAATTTTATTACCCATATATATTGGAAAAATTTTAATTTGATTATTTAGAATATCATAATTATACCTACGATTGTTCGTCAATTGCGCTGATTTTTCTTCACTACCAGAAATCTATACATCTTTTGCGGTGGCAATATATACATATTATTTAAAATTYGTTCAGAAAAATAAAAACTTAGCCACTTAATTACATACCATAGCAGGTGGTACTTTAAATTTTTTAAATTATAAAAAACTTTTGATTATATATTGATTAATCAATCATACATATCAAAAAAGTTAGGAAAAACACATTCTTCGAGCTGGTTAGAGTATGGCCAAGGTTCGATACATCAGTGAAGAAAATATTGTGTATTTGATAAACTTGATTATATATAATTTTATCACAGACAATATTAATTAGTAGCACAAATGCTTTCAATTATTTCAATTGACTTAATAGATACCTAACAAATATAATTTTAGATTTGAAATTTAGCAGACTTGGCGTTATAGGTATTATATATTTTATGTTGTAACTTAATATGTTTATTAACATATAAAGTACTTAAAGGCCTTACTATAAAGTAATTATATCAGTATGCAATAAAGTTGATACATTTCTTATTAGTACTTAATAAGTATACACGTACAGAAGCTCAGTTTCATAACAAGCCATAATAATCTTTCTCTCGAACAATTTAATTATATAGGAGTTACACGATGGCACCTATGTATCTGTTTAAAGTTATCATGTTCTTAGAAACATCGGCTGACACGTTATATAATATAATAAATAAAAATATTATATATTATGTAGGTATAAATTTTATATTTAAAAAAAAAAACCTTTTACTAACTTTATTACACTGTATTATTTTCATGTAGGTATGCTATAAGAATGTTATTAAATTTAAATAATTTTATAAAATTAACTAAAAATATTTTACCATGAGAAAGCATAATAATCTACAAGTTAAAGAAATTCATAATTTACTGTATTAGAGAACACAATTGTAAATTGAAAATGTTAAATGTAGAAACCATCCCTATTAATATTATTTACTTTCAATTAAGTTTCCGCGTAGCCGTGAGTCTAAAATATACAGTCATAACCAAAATAGTATAAAATAACAAAATATATTTTAACAGAAAAACACCTATTTATTTCAAAGTTAAATAAGATCAAAACATTCAAAAGTAATAATAGATTGTATAAACTCAGGTGTATATACGACTGTAGTAATATATATATATATATATATCTATATTACACATCATATTCATACTATAGTATTTAAATTGTTCTAAAGTCATGTTTTTCAAAAATGAAGATTGTACGATGACGTGTGCTGGCTGGTAATGATGACACGGCCACTGTTTATTCGTCGACGCTGCCTATCCTGTCTATCCAGATTTCAAATTTCGTGAGATTCTGAAATCAAMTTTTATGCGTATTAACTTTGTCACGTATTCATGAACATTGTCTGTTTAATTTATGAGGTAAATTGACTATTATTATGACTGTGTATTGTGCTTATGAACCGTAACATGTGATTTTTCATTTTATACGTCA